AGCCCTGGAAGCTACTTAGTAACTCTACATTCTATCAATTAAAATATTTGATTGCCCTGCCAATCCAGATGATTTGCCCTGCCAATCCAATCTTTGCGGGCGGAGGGGGGGGGGGGGTGGAACACCCCCAAGTTTCGCCCCTGCGTTGGAGTGAGAAAAGGGCGAAAGATATGAGAACCTCTGGTAACCAAGGTACTTACTTGGGTGATTGATTGATATAAAAATATTAACAAGACACGGTACTAAAATGCGGTGCCCTCAGGGTTTGCACTTGCAAGGATTTTTCCCTGCAGCAACGAAATATTGGTCTTTTCAAGCAGTGGTGCCTAAATTACTTTGAATTTATACTCGAGTAAAAGTAGAAGTATTTAACAATAAAACGACTTGAGTAAGAGTAAAAAGTACTGGATATTCCCAGGTAAACTCTTGTAGCTTTTTTCGTATAATTTTTTCTTTGTTTCTTTTTCAGTTTTTGCCATTATTTTCTCCAAAATGTCTTCAAATCATTGCACATAACAGCTTTAATACTTATATTTTGATAATATTTTATATATTGGAACAATTTTGAGTCGATTTAACCCACGATGACGAGGGCATGAACAACGATGTATAACGATGAAGAGAATCTTATGTAGGGTGAAAACCAAAAAATCTACATAAAGCTAGTTAATCCAACGCAAAACAGAATATTGAAATATATTGTAATTTGTTACCTGTTTTCATCGTTGAGATCATGGCATAGTGGTAAACACCGACGCGATCATGAGCGAAAGGTGCGGAGCATACCCAGGCAAAACTCTCGTAACTTTTCGTATAATTTTTTCTATATTTCTTTTTGCCATTATTTTTTCCAAAAGTCTTCAAATCGCTCCTCATAACAGCTTAATACTCATATTCTGATAATATTTTGCTTACAGTAAAGCAGTAAGTATAATATTGAAGAAAAATGTAATTTATAGCCTTCTTCTATCGTTGACGTTATGGTATAGTGGTAAAGATTGAGCCTATCATGAGCGATAGTTGTGGAACATTCCCAGGTGAAACTCTTTGCTTTTTCCGTATATTTTTTTCTTTATTTCTTGTTGCCATTATTTTCTCCCAAAAGTCTTCAAATCGCTCCTCATAACAGCTTAATACTCATATTTTGATAATATTTTATATATTGGAACAATTTTGAGTCTATTTAACCCACGATGACGAGGGCATGAACAACGATGTATAGCGATGAAGAGAATCTCATGTAGGGTGAAATCCAATAAATCTACATATTAACAAC